AGACTTTCACGAACAGCGATTTTACATTCTCTCTTCTTCAATGCAAATAAAAAAAAACTTTAAAGTAAGATGGAGCCTGGGATTTAACTCATAATTTTTGCTTAGTTAGTTGCTAACTGAGCAAAAATTGCGAGTTAAATCCCAGGCTAGTTCTAATTAAAAAGGAGGTCGCTTCTAGTCCACTCAAATCCAACTAACCATTGCAAGAGATGATCGTTCAAGCCCGGTAATATTAAACTATTCAAATGGAATCGGTTTTGAAAAATTATTTAGTTGCTAAGAGAGAAAGTGTTCACGTTCTGGAAATAATAAAAACCGTTTGAAATTGAACCTAAGGTCTTCTTCTAAGAACGCAAAGACTTTCACTACTGGGCCACTGAGTCCCTGGGATCATTATGAACCAATTCGACCTAGGAGTGGGACAATTTGGGTGATCATATCTCAATATTATTTGAAAAAAAAAAAACATATTCGTAGAATACACTTTGATCAGCACATGCATTCAGTATTTCGATGCTATTTCTAAATATTCTATTTGCGTTTACATCTTACACACCAAATTTAAATTGCTGAGAATCAACATCATCAGCAAAATTTCCAACAAAGTAATACTGCTGAAACTTTCAGTAATTCGAACTTCTGTTAAAATGACAGAATTTTCCTGAATCTTCAGTATATCTGTAATTTGTTGCTGAAGCTGCAGCACAAAAATAAATAACACTGTTCAACTGATTTTTCGGCGAATCTGCAGCGAAATATTACTGAATTACAGTAAATTGTTTTGCTGAAACTCAAAACTGAAATTTGGCGTCTAGTTGTCTTGACTACGACCGTTAAAAGCATTCTGACTGTGTGTTAATTTTGTTTTCCTTGATTTGTTTTCCGTTGATCTTGGTTTTCCGTGCTGAGCACCAATTTTACAGACGCCAGGGAGGCAGCATCCACACCTGGACCCTATATATCGACCCATCAACTCATGAACCGGGGACCAACGGCTTTACTTTCCCTTCCGAAGGAAAGCGTGATCAGCGATGTTATGCCTCAGAACATCCAATCAGCGCCGACTGGGATTGAACCCAGGCATGCTGGGGTGAGAAATAATCACGCTTACTACTACACCACCGGAGCCGCTGACTGTGTGTTGATATCACCGTTGATATCCAATCATGGCAACGATTGTCGTGCAACATAAATCATCATTTAAAGAAAATCGACAGCCTCAAAGGCACTCACATAGAATTACCTCCTCGAAAGTACTCAACTCAATCATGCGCCTCTCTTCCACCACCGATCAAGGTTACCAAAAAATCATGCCACATCGTATAGGCCACAAATTCTCGTGCGAACGCTGTACGGTGAGATATCTCCGCCAGCTGGAACTGGGTGAAGAACTGATGCCGATCAAACTACAAGTAGAATAGCTCCCCGCACTGTGCACTTTATATTCCAATTTGCACTTCCATAGGACAAAGAATAGACCAAAAATTCTGCGTGACTAGCACTTTCAACATTCCTCCCGGTCATTCACTCCAATCAGCCAAGTACCAACCGCAAGCGCTGCATGTTCTATATCGTATATTTTTTTCAAAAATACACCACACTCTCGCGAACAAAAGCCTAATTCATCACACAACTGAACAATAGATCACGTGCGATCGAGGTCATACACGGAGCTTTTTTTTACCATGCTCAAATAAATGCTTATTTTTTTTTAAATAGATCAAATTATAAAGCAGGGAGCTTGTGACGAACGGCTTGTGCGCCCGATATAATAAAATTAACAATCCTGATCGAGCAGTTTTGGGATCACCTTTTAGTAGTGATTTTAAGAAAATGAATTAATTACCATCTGATTTTTCTAGCTGAGCATAAATAAGTCCCAATTTTCTCGATATTATTCAAGAAAAAATATCAAAACGATGCTTCACGGCAAAGTTTGAGTGATGGGAAACGTCATTTCAAACTCCTCGAATGATAAGATCCAATGATCGAGAATTTGCACAGCACCCCCAGTTGCCGGAGAAACCAATTGCCTGAATTTCAAAATATTTGGATCAGTGGTGGATCGCACTGGAAGCGGAAGAAACGGTTGCAAAAATGGACACCAAAATCATGCGATAATTCAGCCAATAATTTCCGACGGAACTGTACGCCGGGTAATTTCAGATCGTAGTCTCAAAACAGATCAGCTCGAAAATTTCCGTTCATCAGCAAAACGACTAAGGTTTGCTCTGGAGTATGCTCGAGCTGTGCTTATCATGTGAAAATCGATGACATTATGATCGCAGAATCCAACATTGATTTTCTGCGTGAAAATCCGAAAATTCGTTGATCAAAATTGGTTTGGAAAATAAGTTGGTGTTTCAGCAAGACAAACAGCAAAGAAAACAAAACCGTTCTTCAGGTCTTGCCGCAACATCCAATTCCCTAAAATAGTGAATCTTCAACTATTTTGAGAATTGCATCTCACTTTGAGTAATGATGTGAATTCCACTCATATTAAATATTAAAAATTGCAAGGCCTAAATAGCAAAAGAACGAGAAAACTCATTAGAAAATTTCCTCAAAACACGACTCCGAACCAACTTGAAATGCCAAAATGACATGAACATATTTATAAAAAGGCCCCACAACGCTTAAATAGCTTATAAAAATGCCCTGAAATCCGTTAAGATAATCTAGGAAACGGCAAAGTTTCCTATAAAATATCAATTCACAAAAATGCCCACACAATCGCTTAACTAGCCTATAGTTATCTACATGGCTTTAAAACACTAAAACGCCCAAATTTCTTCATGTCTCGTCAGTCACAAAGGGTATGCTGTGAGGCAAAGGGCTTCTCCCATGTTTAAGGCAATAATCAAGGTACTGTGATGACAGATTGCTCATGGAGGAACATGGTCAAGTCGTTAAATTTTGCCGTACTGGAACTGCCTTAAAAACGTGCAATTACATTAGTAAACATCACAATCTTGGTGCTCCTCCGCGATTGTTCTCTATGGGGACGAACAATTATTTTGGGAGCTAAATGTTAATTAGCGGAAAAGTAAAACTTAAATTTAAAAATTAAGATAAAGCCTTTGACATAGAAACGTCAAAACATTGACATCAATTAACACTTATTCTTCTTCTTCTTCTTGATCAGATATTTCTTTTCCAATTACTGATTAATGACAAGCGGAATTCTTACTACAGCAGGAGCCATTGGATGATAATTCAATCAACATAAAATCCAGATTATTGGCAGGGTATTTGAAGAATCGGGAACATAAATGAAAAATTAGTGATAGGGTAAATGAAAGTTTCATAAATTCTCTAACCGTTTATCACTCACCAAGCTGATACAGTTAAGAAGAATATGTTCCAAAAGCTTTGAAGTCGCAATTTTATTAGAGTAAGCGAGTATTCCTCGATTGGCCCTGCAGTAATTAAAAGTGAAAACAGTTACAACAGGCTATAACATTACTTACTCCAACGTTTTGATTCTTATTGGATCTTTTACAATGTTTCTAATAGGGTTAAGACCTAACGTCAATCATACTTAACACAACCCGAGCAGGAAAAAAATAACTTATTAATACCAAACTCAGGTATGAAAATAGCATAACTGGCAACCTAAATATGGTATGACATAAGAGGTAAAATACCAAAAATAATACCTCAAAAATGTTCTACGAATAACGAACTAATAATAGTTTAGTTATTACAATAACAAACGGATAACAGACACTTTTTTAGATGCCAGAATATCATAGTTTGTTATTTTGAAGGCCTTCTAATACCAAGTTGGGAGTTATTGTCTAAAAACTCAAAGAACACATTTTGTTATTTTGGTATTCATTTGATATTTTACAAAATATTTCGATAGCTGAACAATATCAAAACAAGGATTTATACCACAAGCATACCGAAATCTGGTATCATACCACATTAAGATATTCATTTGTTATCGATTAGCTATCGGTTCCTGCTCGGGAACCCGCACTTTGGCTTTCTTTTTCGAGCGGGTTTGAACAACAAATATAATGTTTCTTTACCTTAGGATTGTTAGATTTGATAAAGAGTCATAAATTGTTGATGAATTGCTTAAAAATATAATACTGACTCTTGATCCAAATTACATCCTACGAGTTTAAATTCCGTCCAAACACATTGAAAAGCCATTAAATTCACTTCGGCATACGGGTTAAGGCAGAAAAAAAAATTGATTCGCTTCTTCTGTTTTTGAGAATAATGAATGTAAATATTCATATTTTGCATTCTTGTAGACTTTGATTTGCAGCTTTTGAACTAAACTATCGTACCAAATGTAGGATTGATTCGTTCACGTCAAAATCATTGATATATTTAATGTTTCTGCTGTGTACTTATGCCAAAGCTGTTCTCTACCCTATGTTCGCGTAAATATTCTTGTCAAGTGTCGATTCTTTGTTCGTTCATGTCATTAGCATGATTTACGTGATCAGATATGCTTCAACAGGATACATGATTCGTCAGAACTTACTCGAACAGAATTCCTACATTTAACAACATCGATGCAGTTCCCAAAGGCGTCGCTAGTCTTGCTGCACAAAATGTTCTACCTAGAACAAAATCATTTGGTTCGTCAACTGGTTCGATCCAACTTGATAATTTTGCACCCGCCTTCAACAGATAGATCTTTCAAAACTTCCACAGCTGTAATTAGAGAGCATCCCAAGCCTGTCCCGTAAGCACATGTTCCACTCCAAAAAATCTTCGGTCGGATCCCGAACCGAACCTCAATTTCTTTTTAATCTCACAGACGTTTGACAATCGACGATTCACTTCTAATATGGCACCTTCCTCGTCATCGAACGAACGAAGTTTCATTATGATCCATTTAGAACTGCAACATAATTCCCCGCACTTGATCACCGCAACACTGGTCAACTGATTTGTAACGGTCACTGAAAATGAATCGAAGCCCCTACCAAAATACAATGCCCTGAAACCCAACCCGGCACTCAAAAACACATTACCGTTTAGATAGGCGTGATGTCTCCAGAGCTGCTGCACCTGATACTGCGTGATGTTGTTGTTGTTGATCACATTGTTGTTGTTATTGTTGTTACTACTGTTATTGTTCGTATTGTGGTGTATCGCCTGCAGGAGCTGTGACGTCGGTGGTAAACTCTGGCCCTGATGGATCCCGGTCAGTCCATTCGGATTGTTCGATCCTAGCAGTGCCTGGTGTACCTGTTGTTGTGCTTGCTGGTGATGTTGCTGCTGTTGTTGTTGCTGTTGCTGTTGCTGCTGCTGTTGATGTTGCTGGGTCAGTCCATTAACGTTGGTCAGATGCTGCAGATTGTGAACCACCTGCTGTAAAGGCATCCCGACCGGTAGGATCGGAGGTGGCATCGAGTTCAGCAGCTGATTGGCCACAGAGTTACCGATGCCACCGCCACCGCCGCCGCCTCCATTGGGTACCCCGTTTGGCCCGTTGCTGGAACCGTTTGGGATAATTTGTATGTGGGGCGACGGAGCAGGTGTCGGTGGACCGATGTTCATCGACGAAACCGGTGGCAGCGGTTGAAATTCCATATTCATCGGGAACAGGATCTGCACAGGAGCACAGGGTTACAACCGGTAATTTCACTAGCAGAGTTATTCTTCGATGTTGCCTTATTCCGCACGATCGCGATGATTGTTTCGACACCACAATGCTTTCACTCGTTTCGCTTGTCGCACACACTTTGTTTGAGCGTCCACTCGCCAAAATAACTGGAATTTTTGGTACAACTTTCAACCATGTAGCACACACCCGTGGTGGTAGACAACACCGGATTCAGCTGCTCGCGAGTTAATCGACATCCGACAACCGGGTGTTCACTTGGTTCTGAGAAGAAGGCACGTATTGATTACACACGCACTCTCGCACACTCGTCTTCTGGTGTTCTTCAGGGCATGGGACTGGGGTTGGTAGGAACCAACGCGACGACCAATAGTCGTGATTGTTTTGTGTCAGGAGAACGGTAAACACTTGTCAAATTCGAAAAACATTTGGCAATCTTCCGGGGGACTGGCTGCGCCAGCGCAGTCTTCCTCTTCTGCTCGAACTGGTCTGGAACGGTTCTCACGCGGTCACACGCTCGGTGATCGTCGACAGTGCTATCGCACAAGTTCCGCACGCGCCCTAGCACTGTTAAACACTCTTATTTTTATTTTTCTGTAAATGCAAATCCCCAAGTGACCTTGTACGTGCTATTCCATGCGTTTCATTTTTCAATTCAAATTAGCTTCTATTCTCGAAGCGCGAAGCTTCCACACTCGCTCCAAAGGTATACACTCTGTGGCACACGATCGCCCGGGCACTTCGAACGGGCTAGAAAGGGGGGTTCTCAAAGGGCCCACGGGGGGAGCGTCTCACACCGGCACCGTACACTTCCACTCGCGTGCGCGCTCTATTCAGAAGATCTGTTTATATTCATTAATCAAATTGCATCTCCACCAGCTAGCTACTAGCTAGAGCTCTGGGTATCACACGGCTGCTGCATGCGCTCTGCTCTATCTATCAACACACCACGTTCTATCTTCACACACTCACACCCAAACACACACCGTTGCACAGCACAGTTGTTCCTCGGCTGTCAGCTTGCAAATCACAAACAAACAAAAAATTGCACAGTGAATTGCTGTTCCCGATAGGTTCCCAAGATATCCCTGGAGCTTCTAGCGCGAAACCTGCGGCTAGAATTTTAATTACCCCCAACTCGCACACTCACACGTAGTCACGGGCACACTTGTCACTCCAGCCGCCTTATGTGCGGTGCTTATCAGCTGTTCTTCGCCGTTCTGGGTTTTGAATTCACCTCAAAATATTCTTGCGTTTCCTTCTCGTTTTCGGGAGGTGGGTGGTTTCCCAACCTACTCTTCAAATTCACCACACCGTACACTAGCAGCGCAGAAGAATCAAAACAAACCGCTCGTCGCTATACGGATGGATAGAACACGATCAAGAACGGTTCTTGGGGCCTTTCTTTCGCCGCCACCACACTTTCGCCTTCACCTCGTGGGCTGTCAATAGGTTACACACGGTTCTGTCCGCCAGACCGCCGAAAAAAAAAGAGAAAGCACTTCACGCACGCGCGTCTACAGCGATCGACGAATCCCGACTCATCGGACGGTACTGTCTCAAGGGTCTCCAGAGACCGCTGCCGTGTGCGGGTCCCCCACCGCTTTGCCAAAAAAAAAAACAGCGTAAGTGAAATGGAAAAAGCAACACAACCAACACCACGCTGCTCGAAGAAAGAGGCAAAAGTAAACACGGCGAGACTCACTGTAGTCGTCATCCGCCGAAAACTGCTAGCTATTGGGTTCCGCCAAGTTCCGTACGGTCACACGGCGAGCGTGTCAAGGGGTAGGAGAAATGCGCGCAAACTACACTGATATGCTGAAGTTGTTGTGAAAGAGTGAGAGTGAGAGTGAAAGAGGAAGTATTCCGGCGAACCACCACACTACTGCTGCACGATCGACGATCAACGATCACCGACCGACCGACGACGACGACGATGACGAAGCTTCACCGTTTGCCCGACTGACTACGACGACGACGACGATGATGGGACGTTCGAAAGAGTAGAGGGAAATGGTGTAAAACGGTTAACCAATTGCAATTTAATGGTTTTCCATCCAGAACTGCTAGGTGGGCTCTGCTTTCATATCAATTGCTGCTTTAAAAGAACTTTAAAAATAAAAAAATATAATCCCCCTGGCGCGTATTACACCCGGTTCCCCTACCTATCTGCTGTAAAGCTTTTTTGCCGAGCGACGGGGTGGCTCGTCGCTACACTGGCGTGGGTAGGTGTCTGTTAGCGAGGGTTTTGGAAATTCGACTATGAACGATAGGATCTCTTTTTTTTTGCCTGTTTCGTCCCAACTGGAATTTTGCACCTGTCTTCAACGTAATTTTCTTTTAGCACTTCCACAGTTATTACTAGAAAGTTTGCTAAGCCTGAACCCAGTGCTGTGGTTGTGGGTAGTCAACCACTTCTTTGCACTTAATCAAAAATGAAACTAATGTCCTGGGATCCACCAAAGATTCAAGATTACGGAAAGCGAAGTAATATTTAACCTGAAAAACTGCATACCGTGAACTCCAATTAGTTTATGAGCATCATGGAGGAGTAACTTGGCCAAAACTTGGCCAACATTATTTTCTGCTGTTTTGAGTAAAATAAGGCATTGTAATGATGTATAAAGTAATTATAATTGATTTTGAGTCAAATTGGAATAAATAATAATCATTTTTTTTTATATCTAATCGATACACTCTTAGAAATGTTTACCGACTGAACTAACCGGTTAGCAAGCGTTTTTTTTTTCAGTTACCCTGGGGAAGAAATTTGCGATTCAGATGACCAAAATGTTTTCATTAGTAATGAAGAGAAATGATTTGTATTGATATTTTTTCCTAAAAGAACAGTGAATTACATTTGTTTTGATGTATTAACCTTATGTGTACGTCAATCCGTTACCGAGATACAGATGATTTTATTATTCCGGATCCTAAATGAACATAGCTTTAGGTTTTACCGAACGTTGCGCTGTTGAGGTTTTGGTAAACAATGACCGAACACGACAATACATGCTGAGTGTGTAGCATTCTTCTTTGGCTGAACTATTCGGCAAAAATCATGCATTTTAATTAATTAGTTTTCAGTCTGCAAAACAAGAAAAACTTCACCACAAGACTGACAGTATTTTAAAATTAAAATTCAGTCGAACAACCTTGGAAATTAGAGTCAAAGTTCTACCGAACGTTCAACTGTTGAACGTTTGTAAAAAAATAACGAAATCGGTCATAATCTCTAAGTTTGTACATATCCTGAATAAATATGCGGATGCTTTGGAAAATGCATAAGATGCAGACAATTTTTGATGTCCACTTTATAACTTGAACAGTCTTTATGATCGGACCTCGCAAGACTCGACCACTTTGTTTATCAATGAAAAAGTTCAAAAGTACTAAATAAATTTCTAATTTCTCAAAAAGTTTGATCAGGATTTATTTCTAGACACTCCTCTGTGCATCGGGAGTGTAACCCATCAGGCATAAATACGTTAGGCATACGGAAGTTAGGCATAATGGTCGCTAGGCATAAAGGCATTAGGCATTATGGACGTTAGGCATAAATTACCTTGCTGCTGTGCAACTCTAGAAGCTGATGTGAGCATGGTAAACAATGCTTAAATTCGGCTAATCGTTGAATAAAAGATGATACAAGTTATACAAACATAGTTTATTTAATAAGAATTGTTTGGAATCCATCATTTACCGTATCATAAGTGACGTAGCTACATATTTACTTAGATCCAAGATTAGTAGCGATAGCGGTTAAGTAATCTGGCAATAAATACTTGAAATCAATCGCATCTAGAAATAAAAAAAAATCACACATTTGTTGTAAACATATTGCAATTGTCAAAGAAGAAAAGTTTTTCCTCAAATAACAGCTCATAAAATAAAGAATGGTGAATTCTGTGACTTTTCATTCCATAACAAAAAAAAAACAGCTAAGGTTGAATAAAAGATGATGCTAAAGAACAGCTCATGAAATCAAGAATGGTGAGTTCTGTGGTTTTTTATTCAATAGCAAAAAACATACCTGCTGCTTGCAGGATTTACTCCCCTACTTTTCGATACAACGATTCTGTTTTTGTTGTCATTAGAATAAAAACTAGCTGGAACCGTCTGCTGATGTAAGGAAGCGATACTTCCATGAACAGTGACGAGTTGCCAAAACAAACAAGGAACTGTGGAAAACGTACCATCTGCAATCAAATACTTTGCCTGTCCAAGACGTCGCAAGTTTTCATGAGTCCCAAAAATTAAGGCTTTTTCATTATAGTCACCAATGTCAGCAATCAATAGACGGTTTTCATTATCATCCTTCTTGAATTCATCAGGTAGATTATGCCTAACGTCAAATATGCCTAACGTCCGTATGCCTAACGTCAATTATGCCTAACGTCCGTATGCCTAACGTCGTGTACCCGTGCATCGGGCTTGATAGTTGGTAGAGTCCATTTGTTAAAGTAATTCAGATGGACAGTTAACGCCAATGTGCATAATTTTCAAGGAATAGCCTCATCAACAGTTTATGCAATTTTTTGATTGCCTTTTTAAATCAAATTTGTTTATTTTAAAGGCTAAATCGGAAGCATCGATCTTGATAGATGTCTATTTAAGAATATTGGTCATTTGAATCTTGGTCGCCAATTCCAATGATTTTTGTCGATTTAATTTGATAACCGTTCGTTTTTTTTTTATTTGGTCATAAAGACTGACTGGATATTGTTTTCATGTTAAAACCTATGTTTTTTTTTCAAACGAATTGTTTGTCAGCGTCTGAATGTTAAGATTATGGATGTTGACAAGATTGTCTACAACGATTCAATGCCGGATAAAGTCAAGTATAGCCACAGTTTTGATTTGTTGAACATTAAAATATCATAAACCTTTTAAGAAGAAGAACCTAATTTCGTAAAATAGTGAATTTTGATACCTAGGGGAAATGTCGACTTCGGCAATACCTTAACCTATTATCGTCACAGGGTAAACAAAGCCCTAGAGCACTCAAATTTGGCCATCAGATGCTCTAAAACACAATGTATTCACATACCAAAATTGAGCTCTCAAGGACGTTGTTTACCTCCTGATGATAATAGGCTAAGGTATTGCCGAAGCCAACATTTCCCCTTTATAAGGGAGGTGATGAGTTCTCGGCTTAAAATGACTTTAATAAAGTTAATAAAAAATATAGCATTAGTTTACCAAAACGATCCCTGCTGCAAACCTTTCCCCACAACCAACATCGCAGTGATTTCTCGTGGAAGCACAGAGGACTTCTCGGTTTCCTTCACAGCGAGTATAACGGCAGCACATTCTTTTCCATTCCCTATTTGACCTGCATTCGAACACGGCCGGCGCTTATATTGCTAAATATTAGCTCTCCAATGTTAGTCCCAAACATCATCTATTGGTTCTCTGTATAATTGCAGCTGATCTGGCAATAACAGAGCAGCAACCGTGGGCAGTCAATCATGCTCATGCTCATGCTCAATATATGAGGACAATTAATCGTATCTTGCTTTATGTTTCATATACCAATCCTGAAGGTTACAGTCAACTTCTAATTGATACGTAGGAACCGATTGTGCGAATATTTAGCATTTTTTTCTATTTTCTCGCGGCTTGTGACTCATACCGAATATTGCAGATACAAAATTCGGCCAGATTTCCAGTTAAACAGGAGACTGGAAAAAGCCAGGAATTTGAGAATCCGGATCGGGAAAAAATCGTTAATCTTTCTCCAGAATGAAATGATACTCTAACCTTGAAAACTGAAATAGAATTACATCGTTACAATTTTAAAGTAATTGTTTAATTTTGTTGGTAACTCTGAGGAAAATTCCATGACAATTCTGTAACTTTGAGAGAGTGGGAGATTCTAGGAGCACTTCTAATCTATCACAGTCTTAACAAGTTCTGGGAAGAATTTTAAAAGAATACTGCTGAGGATTGCTCCAAAATATTTCATAGGTAACTTCCATGTACAGTATGCAAAAAAAGTTTATCCACCCCCTGCCAATTAACATTTTTTTTTTGTTTTTCTGGTGAAAATCAGTTTAATTTAATGAGTGTTCCTCCATGATTTATCAATTTATGTTTATTTATCACATTGCCAAAAAAGACCAAATTTCGATCAGTATCCGAAATTTGATTATTGAACATCACAAAACTGGCAAAAGCTACCATGATATTGCCGATATTGTCCAGCTTCACAAAGATACGGTCGTTAGAATTGTGCAGATGTACAAAAAGCGTGGTTCTATCTCACCAGCTAAGCGATCGGGGCGTGAAGGTGGAACTGGAACGGGGACTATCAGCTCCGAAAATTACGAAATAGATTGAAAGCGAGTTTTCCATTCAACTGACATCACAATCCGTACGAAATCGTCTTCATAAGAAAAGTCTTAAGGGCAGAGTAGCTCTTAAGAAGCTATGGTTGTACGCAAAAACTTTTAAAAAAAGATTGAAGTGGGCCCAGGACCACATTTCATGGACTAGTGATGACTCGAATAAGGTGATCTGGTTAGACGAGACGAAAGTAATGCTATTTGAGTCACCATTGATACCATCAGGCCGGCCCAAATAGCATTACATTCGTCTCGTCATGGTCCATGAAATGTGGTCCTGGGCCCTCTTCAATCTTTTTTTTTTTTTATATATATTGCGGACAACCATGGCTTCTTAAGTGCTACTCTGCCCTTAAGACATTTCTTATGAAGACGATTTCGTACGGATTGTGATGTCAGTTGAATGGAAAACTCGCTTTCAATCTGTTTCGCCATTTTTGGAGCTCATAGTCCCCGGTCCAGCTCCGCCTTCTTCACGATAGCTCGGTCAATTCGGCCAGTTGTCTTTGAAGGACGCCCCGATTGCTTAGCTGGTGAGATAGAACCACGCATACTGTATATTTTAGAGATAATTCCAAGTGAATTCCAATTGCAAATCGGAAGAAAATCAGAAAAGAATACTATTGAAATCTAATTGTGACTTGTGAGGGTTCAATTCAAAATGAATTCCGATAAGAGTTTCAAGGGTATTGCCAGGGTATTCCGAGATACATTTCTAAAGTATTCTATTATAATTCCAAG